TTACCTCAGCGTGAACGAGTCGAAGAGTAATACGCTCGCGCGTTATTAATAACTCACCGGATAATCACGACGTATTAATTAATGTATTAATTAGAGCGGGGCGTGCCTTATTTCGTATTTAACGCACTACTCGTTCTCGTTGTTGTTGTTGGTACTACTCTTCGCTTTGCGCTTCGTCCAATATAATTTATCATGAGCGTGAAAGTAAAATCGGGCATGCCTCTCTTCGCCTCGATATTGTTGGCGATGCCGTTCGTTCTCGTTTTTGAAGTTCCTTGTATATTGTTCTCGACAATACCATTATAGCATCGATTCAAAGTGCTTGTATTGAGAAACCAGAGGAGATTGACTATTACGATTGGATTGAATACAAGTTATCTATGATTGTGTGATCATTTATGGTCGTTAAATGTATACGAACTTATTTGAGAAGAGAATCAAAAGGCACGTTAGCTATACATTACGTATTTCTTAACCCTCCATTAGCAATGTGTAATTTTGCACTTTCCATCAGCAACTATAGGGACTTCGAACTTCAGTGTAGACACTTTTACATTGTTCCGGACTAAAAATCTAAAAAAGAATTTCGTATAAGTACACTTTACATGGAAATTACATGTTTATGACTAGAAAATTACTTAAATTACATAAATATGATTGGAAATTTACTGGAAATTATAAATTTCCAATCATATTTAGGTAATTTTTCAGTCATAGACATGTAATTCCTATGTAAAATTACATGCATTTTTTTCAGTGTTCTTATAAAGCTTTAACTAATATTTATTATCATAGAAATTAAGTTGTATTTTAGATTACTAATTTAAATTTTTATCTACAAAGTTTTACCGTATCCAAAAAATTGACTGTGCCTTCACAGTTTTATATTCAACGCTTCATCCTCCGGTAGAGTTAAAATATGATTACTCAAACTTTTAGTTTTATAATGATCACATTATTTTCAATAGGTGATTTTCGTAGAAATTTTTTTCTAGAATCGATATACGAACTTTAATACAGCATTTGAGAAAAATATGTAAAGAATAGGGATTTTGTTGGATTTTTCATCCAAGCTATCGAATATTCAAGGAACGGAGAGAAACATATTTCTCTACATTCTGAATAATTTTACATGTAACCGCAGTAAATTATAATCGACAACTCGGAGAGGAGCGGATCCCGTTATGAGTGGGCACTTCAGTCACAAGTTAAGAGGATCCGGAGAGTCAGTGGTTTCCAGCGTGTACGTCGTACGTACACACGCACAGTGCGTACTATCGTAGTCGTGAGCGCGTGCTACAACCGGAAGATGTCATCGCCGGCAATTACGAGCGAATCGAACGCAAATTTATCGGTGACAAACGCGGTGCGTGCAGGCCGGACACGACGCGACGTCGCGCCGCCGCCTGCAACGATGCACTTGGACGCGCGTCGCGCTTTATAAACGCGTGCATCCGAAGACACGGTGCCTTCCGTCGCGGCGCGGCCGTACCGAGAGCGTAAGTGGAATTAGTCTCGGTTCGACGGACGCGCCTACCTTGGACGGTTCTTGAACGAGCAAGATGGAAAGTAATGCACCTTGCGACGAATCGGGGTGAATCGACGAGAATGCCGATCGTGCCGATCGGGGGAAAGAGAGGAAGGCGCGAAGACAGTCAGTCGGGCCGATATTTTCATTCACAACGCATCACCACACGGGTGTGTCGTTTCTGGGTTGCGAACGCGGCCCGCACGCACCCACCGAACGTGAGATACGGGAGAAATGCGGTCTTATCGGGGGCCACTTCTCGGAAGAACAGACGAATGGGCATGAAACTTAAAAAAGATTAATAGGATCGCGCTATCGATGGGTATATTATTAAATCCTTTCCTGATACCTCCAAGAGGTTTGATTTATTAAAATCTTCTCTGTAAAGGATCGAAGTTGTGACATTTAAGTTATATCTTGGAGACAGAATTAGATTTTAAGTCAGTACGCGTGCATATTGCAAGTGAAATGAAATATGAATCTAGACCATGTAAATTTAGAAGCTATCAATAGTTTGCAGATTATCGCGAATAAAAGAAACTGAAATGACAGTTCCGACTATCTCACTAGTAAAGTTGGAAGAAATATATTCGTATTTCCACAATACTCACGCAATCCGATCCTGGCCAGTGTTCAGGCTGAGGCTATAGAGGTGCATGCGCGTATTAGCGGTATGCCCATTCACCGAATTCCCCTGTTCAATGGGTTGTACCGTGAATACGCAATGACGTAAGGGTCCCCGTTGCTTCGCCAGATAGTCTCAACGTATTGCGGACTCTATAATGTCCTCTTGCCGCGGTTTCATAGGGCAAAAATATCTCGCGGACTTATCCATTGGTGCGAGATTCATTATCACGATCGGCCGAGATATAATTTACTACGCGGCTAGCATGAAACGGACGTTAACGAGCGAGCGCGAGTTTAGGTGTCGCGACTTCTCGCATTGCTTCTTTTTCTTTTTCTTCTTCTCCTCTCTTCCTCCTTCTCTGAACTACAATGAGCTGCCGGTGGATGTTGCTGGGGGAAGAGTGGCAGAGGAGGAAATATACGTAGGGGAAAAGATGAAGTCGACAGGTAGAAGAGAAACTACCTACGCGCTCTCGCCCGCGCGCTCTTCTCTCTTTTATCTCGGTACCGCTTTGTATTAGGCCGCTGTCGCACGGTTGGTATGCGCCGCCAGGTTCACCAAAGTCCTCCTTTTCTTCCTGACCGGAGATTCTTCTTATTTTTCCTCCTCCACCACCTCCTCCTCTTCCCTCCTCCTTTATCGCAGTTTACCAGCAAAGTCAGCGCTCCTAAGTAATTTCTTTCGGTCAAGAACCCACGGACACGATCATCGCCTCCTCCTCTTCCTCCCTCTACATCGGAGAAATGCAAACGGGTTCATATTCAATTTTATAGCGCCCACTTGAAAATCGAACTTTTATTAGGTATATGAATCCTTTTTTTCGCTCACGCTTTTTCGCGTGCCTATTTCCTTATCGGGTGAGCGAGGTCTGCTGGTCAACGATATGAACGGAGGAGGTTGAGCACACGGCGGGCTCGTGCAAACACGCGTGCTCATTCCCACGCACCCACGCCTCTCATAGCCGGCTCACGCTCCAGGTAGACAGACGAATCGCATTTAGCCTCCCGCCGCGACGCGAATGCGTCAAATGTTTTCTCGCGTCGCGAATTTCGCGTCTTGACACCGTGATACATTGTATACCTTAAGGCTAATTCTACCAACACCGATTAACTCTCTCTACAGCGTTTAACCGATTAACTTTGTTGCTTTTCTCGAGACTGACTGTTTTCTTGATACTGACTATAACATAGATATACTGATAGATAATTAATACTAAATTAATGCAAAAGGGACTATGAGCCTAAGTTGGATGTTCACGCTATTTAACAAATTTTTAACAATTATTAATGAATCTTATGAGGAAGAAACGTTTCGATCTTTATTAAGTCCTTTTCGATGTTAATTACAATTTTCATAAACAATTTTCGAATACAATACACAGTAATTGTTCAGTGTGATTATATCAATTTTTTAATTATTAATACATTATCATATGCTTCGCATATATCTTTATAATACTTATTTGCTACAATAGTGTCATTATTAAAAAATATTTATCTTTAAGTTGCTTATATACGTTTGAAAAAAAAGGACGGGAACTTGCAGAAAACAAAAAAAGAAACATACTTTAAAAATACATACTTTTATAATAAAAGTATGTATTTTTAAACTATGTATTTTTAAGTATGTATTTTTTCCAGAAAATAAGTATGAATGTTTTGAATCATTAAAATTTTGTAATATTAATTTTGAAATGCAATTTTGATATAATAACTAATTGTAGAGGAATAAAACTTTTAGTTATTATATTAAAATTGCATTTCAAAATTAATGTTACAAAATTTTAATTATTCAAAACATTCATACTTATTTTCTAGAAAACTTTGTTTTTCAAGATGTGTCGTTGTTGTAGTAAATGAGTGACATGTTCATTTATGTAATGAATTTAGTTACTTATGTAAATTATATTATACTTGTCGCGTCGAGTCTTCTGCAGCACATAGACTCGCGAGAAGGTCAAAGTGCAGAGATGCGTTTGACTCGATTTCAAACGCGACCACTGTATCCAGCTGTCATCCTGTCAGATCAAGGCGAGAGTTACATGGTAGAATGCCACGTGACGAGATAGATATACCTTTAAGCCGCCTCATGATGGAATAGATAAGTGCGCGCGTACAATGGCTCGTTATACTTTCGCGCGTATGCAGATAACGCGAAAAAATTCTCAAAGCCGTCTGAGTAGGTATGAATCTAAGCCGAGCGATTGCATTCGTATATAATATAAGATGATCGATATTAAGGCGTATATAATATAAGATGATCGATATTAAGGCGCCTCCCCCTCAACTATGTTTACGTTAAAGTATTTTAATGTTATTCATTGGCAATTGATCGTGACTATTGAATAATCGATAAAGTAAACGAATTTTACTTATATTTAAATAAAATCAGAGAGAACGTTAAACTTGTGTGGTACACACAGAAAAAAGACTATTCTTAAATCAACTATAATATACTCATATGTAAGCAAAAATATTATAATCTTGCTTTAAAGATATCAATCTTGATTTGATTAAATTTGTTTTGATGCAAGTATTACTTTGCACTTAATTCAAGACTTGCTCAATTAAAAATCTTGTATCAATACAAATTCAAGACTAAAATTTTTAAAGCAAGATTACAATATTTTTGCTTATACATGAGTATATTTTGATTGATTTAAGAATAGTCTTTTTTTCTATGTATCACAAGTAAGAAATAGATTTAACTTTAAATAAATCTTGTAAAGATTTTAAATTAATTTTTACTCCAGTCATTTTATACGTAGCCATATAAGAGACCAAAGCTCAGTTTATGTTCACACATATAATATAAGTTAACGAAAGCATAATTAATGTGTTGCAGGGTACGGAAGAAGAGTGCCGACATGTCGGCGTTGAACGCCGCGCTTTGTAGAAGCGGGATAATCCTCTGGCTGGCCGTCGTCCTACTGCTTGCGTCACGATCCACGCATTCTGGTGAGTTTTTGCAGAAATACCTCGGTGTACTTGTAGCTCCCTTTCTTTCGTCTGACTTCAACGCCTTGGACACGCTTGAGCCGCCGTACAAAACGTGAGTCATTTATTTGATAGAGAGACCGTGAACGCGCGGACTCCCACGAGGAAATAAGAGGTAGACGGGCAAGAAATATTTTCGCTCGCCCGAGAAGACGCGATCGGATTATTTCTGCTTGTGGCTTGCTCGAAGTTAGATTGTACTCCACCGGATCGTCCATAAATGCCGTCCATAAATGTAGCAAAATATGCTGGAATCGTAACGAAAAAAAAATTTTGTTTCCACGTGGATGTTGTGTTTACTCTTTTTACACTCTGCGGAATACAGGCAAGAAGTTGAATATTGCAGTAATAGAGACCGAAGAGAAAGAGAGAGTAGAAGTAATCTCGAATGAAGATGAGAAAAGTCTTTCGTAACTCGAGCATGTTTTATTGCATTTACGATGGAAGAACTGGTTTTTTGAAAGGCAAAAGAAGAGTAATTCTATTAAAGCACTATAGATATATAGAATCTCGAGTCGGTGTGGATTTTTTGAAGAGATTAGAATAGTGGTGCGATAGAAAGCTTGAAATCGGGCGTGAACGCGCGTACGTCTTGTATTGAAATTAATTTCTGAAAATTAGAGCCGAGAGATGAGACGACATTACTTCCGTGACCGTCTTTCTTGTACCGTCTGTGACTAACGCAGAGTTGGCCAGCCAATGTTTGAATGAGCGAGCCACGTTCTGTCAGGCCGTCGAACCTATCCGCGTGTCTCCCTTCCTCTCTGCCAACGGGGAGAGCATTACCTCATAATGCTCACCTCTGGCATCGGTCGTGTCGAGGCCCAAGGTGCTTTCCCATGGACCTGGCACACCATATTCGTTCTTCGACCACTCTCGGGTCGCCTTCTTCCTATCGTGCACCTCGTTCCGCGAAGTTTCGCCAACTTCTTCCCTTTACGTCGAGCTGGTTTAAAACGGTATGCCTGGACCTATCGAGTCCCGATAGGTTATCCTGGTACCGAAGACGATCCAGTTAAAACGGGGCCTCCAATTGTCATCGCTCGTGTCATGAATTATTTCCGGGAGAGGAAAAACGGCGAGAGATTTACGCCGCAATAATATTACCGCAGAAAAAAAAGTGCGCTTCAGAATATCGATAGAAAAAGGATTCGTCATTCCCGTAATTCGTTATTCGAGAAAGTAATTTCACATCTTGTGGTCAAGAGGCCGCAAAGAAAACGAACCTATTTCGCACAGGCGCTCACGACGATCGATCGATCGATCAGGAGCGTGTTCTCGGAAAAGCATGATACTATGAACACGACGACGTGCAAAAACGCTGCATCGTCAATGAAGGCTTATTGAAGATGCGTCAGTTTTGCCTCTCCCCTTCATCAATCGGTCGTCGGTGTTTCAACGAAGAGCAGGTGTGGTTAAACGGACGGGATCGATTGAATTCCGCGACTCACCCGGCGTGTCTTCACTTCGCTCTTCTTTTTTTTTTCTCCCCCTCGAGAATCGCTAGGTGATTCTGTGACTCTCTATCGCATGCACGCTCTTTTTGTTCCTTCGAGCTTTCCTCGAGCGAGCAGCAAGGACGATCAAGATCGACGCGTTCGATCTCCGGTAATCCATCAGACGGCGGACAAGTTTTACTGGATTATGTATCTTCCTTGAGGCGCAATGGGTATTGGCGAGATACTTGCATTGAAAGGAAATCAGCAATATCGCCAACTTCGAGAGAGGCAACAGGTTTTCATTATAAAAAAGTGTTTACCTGTCATGTTATATTACCACGCGCGTAGCAATATAACTTTCTTTTCAGGTTTCGAGATTATCAGAATTACTTGATGTGTATCAGATTGCATTACGGTAAAAAATTACGAATGAGATTCATGCCTTGCGATTTGTTGCGCAAATTGTTACATATTTGCGTGATTGTAATATCGCTCCCTTACTTTAAAAGTGATACAATTCAAAAAATTACATTTCTCAGAAAAGAGAAAACTATTTTTTAACTTGAAAAAAAAATTATTGACTAAATAAATAATATTGGTAAAAAGAATACCTATATTTTTTACATGCAGATCAAATATTCCTGTAATTTTTATAATTCTTAAATACCACTCTATATTTGAGTTGTAATAAATTTTTTAAACCATCCTTTTTGAATTGTGTCAATTTTTACGATTTTTTGATAAATTTAAGATAATTTACTTTTGATAATTGATAAAATAATGTTTACCAAACTCATTCATAATAATAACTCGAAAATTATGTTTTTGAGTTATGCCACCTTTAAAGTAAAGGAGTGATATCATTATTACGCGCGATCGGAAATATGACAGTAATAAATATCGCATATCTCTGACATTATAGCTACATATATATATATACATATACATATATATGTATTGCATATATGTATATTTGTATATATGTATATAAATATTATCGGAATTCCGAGGCAATCGTTTATCATACTTGGACGAGATTTATGAATGTTCGATCGGTGTGAATATGTGGCTCGTGAGTTCCATTAATTTCCCTTCCCGTCTTTTTTTTTCTCGTTTAACCACGCTGAACACGGGGAGCACGCTGTTAGCACTATTGTGTCTTTTATTCTATCTTTAACGTTCATTAAACGTAAAATAAGAATAGAATGAGGCAATAGCGCTGATAGCGCATTTCTCGAATGCACTCAAAGTTTATACAAATTATTTCTTATATCAGTGTCAAAAAAGAAAAAGAAATAACAAGAAAAAAAAAACAAGAAATACGATACGATACTCACCCGGAAGTGATCTAAGTCTAAAGTCAATAGAGGAAAAAAATTGTGTCTCGGCGCTCCTCCGTGTAGCGGTTCCTCCACGTGGCTGCATCGACGTGATGCTGCGTGAATTCTGGTCAAACCTGTAGGCCCTGAGGAGCAATCAGTCGACGTGCCCGCATCGGGATGTCACTGACCGTGTACCTCACCGTTCGCCACTTACAATCCACGTACGTCGTTTACCGGAGTCGCATCTGATCCCTAAGGCGTTCCATATTTATGCCTGATGCTTGGCAAAGTGTCGTTATCTTCGAGCATCATCAAACTCTCTCGCGACGGCGCGGAGAATCGTGATGGCACTCTACAAGCGGCATGGAGCGCATAAAAGTTCAAGATATATGTGACGTGAGACGTTGTACAGTTACACATATGCTAAATCTGCTCGCATTTCCTACGCGGGACAGAATTATATGAGTCAATTCATAAATCTATGTGAAAGACTTCTACACATTTGAGCAATTTGAATCCCTCTCATATAGCACACTTTATCCAAGAGAGACATCATGGAAATGTCTTTATAAAACATTCAAAGAATAAGGACGTCCTTTGGAGGTCTGTGCAATATGGGACCAGATTACGTGGGAATTAAATTGTGTGAATCTATCATGAAACGATCTTGGCACGAGAATAAATCAATGACGGTTTTAACCCTTGTCTCTATAACCAGGTACCCGGGTACCCATTTCGTACTTTTAAAACTGAGCTATACACGTTCAAACTTGTTTCTACGCACAAGAGAAGAGATGGGGAGGTCATAACAACCCTTTCCTACATTCACATAGAAAAATTCCTGTGTAGGTACCCCGGTTATTGAAATTATTGGTTATAGAGATTTTTGGTTATAGAGACAAGGGTTAAGGTGATTTAAATGCATTCTTGACGAGCGAGCGCGAATAAACTCTGCGCTGTCAATTTAGATGAGGAAAAGCTCTTGCGCGGTAAGAGGGTATAGAAAGGACCCGTTGTAACCGGTACGTCATAAGAGGACTCCACTCCCTCGTCCTCGCGCGCGTACTCTTTAGAGTTCTTCTCTCTTTCCCTCTCTCGTCTGGGTACCTTCTTGACTACTTACTGATTGTGAGATGGTGAGGTCACCGGCGGTCATCCGACGGTCCAACGAAAGGTATAACGGAACGCATGGGTGCAACGTCAGCGTGACACGGATTAAATCGATCGAGTTGGTCCATTTTGGGAAATAGGTGTTCCGCTTTTGTGCGAGGCATAATTTAAAGGCTACGTCTATACGGTATCGCATTCAACGTCCGCCAGATCCAATCGCACATACGAAACATTCTCGCGCAACGAAGTGAATCGCGGTTCAAAGATCTCGAGTCCCTTATCGGAAACGAGCGTTTCTTTCCCGACTTGGGAATTATTCTCATTACCGGATCTAACGGCGCGCGGACTTGCATCATAATGTAGGAAGTGGTAACGAACTCGATCCCGTGTGATTGGGAGGATATAATTTATGACTGTCCTCGAAAGGGATTCTCGAACGGGCTAGAAACAGTACGGCGTATTACGCCAGAACCGGTCGACCAGGTTTCCGCTACATTCTACCTTCCCGATACCCATGACATTGACATTAATAATCACACTGATGCAAACGAATGGCATTATTTTTCTACTCCTTTCCTGAAGTCTGAGTTTATTATTTCGATAAAATTATACGGCGAGTGGGCTGCGTAAATTCAGAATAGCTGTCTTTCACGCGGGACTTTACCGAAAAAAATTCCGTCATGACGAGTCTTTCATCTCACGTACGCATACGCGCACACACACACACACACACACACACACAAAGAAACGAAATTATTCCATCATCTTTTTCATCAGTGTACGAAGAGGTCGTCTTGGTGAGAGCGCGACGGAGGTAACCGCGACCTTGGAGAATGCGTAATGCAGAATTTTGTGCACGCAATACGCCAGGGGCTGGCTGCGGTGCCAGGTGTTCATCGGAGCGTGCGCGGTTGATGGTAATGAACTTTCGCGAGGCAAGGCCGCCGGGAATGATTTCATAACCGAGCTCAACAGCCCCGTGTTCTCCTGTTCTCTCATCTCTGCAGTGTGTAATAGCATTGTTCGCGCGCGCGTACGCGCCCATACGCGGAGAAAGGGACGGGGATCGGATCGCGATGCGTTGCGGGAGGAATCGAGAGAGTCGCCCTCAAAGCGAGAGCAAGACAATTGCGAGAGGGGAAACGACACCGGAGAGGAAACAGGAGGACTCGGCGGTACGTTGACTTACATAATGATTCCTCGCGATTCCTTGTGATATACGTAACCTGAATGCTTGTGCGCGCGCGCGTGCGTATATACAGGGTGGATACTTACAAGTAACACTAGGGAAGTGATAATCACCGATTATTCTGTAACTGCGCATATAAGTAGTTCCTTAGAAACTATTTGACACGTGATTTTTTGTTTTTCCCCAAAAACGGTTTTTGGGGTAAAAATCACCCTTGCAAGTTTTGGGGTGAGTTAAAATATTATATTATTTTATTATATAATAGTATTTGTAGGATTTCTATGAAACTTGGTATCTAAGGGTTTTTAGTGCCGCAGATATAGAATTTGAAGTCAGCTTTTGAAAATTCAAAATGGCGGATCTAATATGGCGGATAAATTTTCTAATTTTTTCAGGATTTTTATGAAACTTGGTATTTTAAGGGCTTTTCGAGCCGCTTCTTAAGAATCTAAAGTCAAATATCGAAAACTCAAAATGGCAGATCCGATATGGGGGACAAATTTATAACATAACACAATTTATAACATGACACAAGTCGAGTCTTAACTTCTTCATTATGCATTATGAAATTTGAAATGCGTTTTATAGCCACCATTCAAAAATTAAAAAAAAAATTCATTGTGATTTTTAATCAACGTCCAAAAAATCAAGTAGACATGCATTTTTCATGAAAAACCCCATGATTTTTCACACATTTGTCCCCCATATCGGATCTGCCATTTTGAGTTTTCGATATTTGACTTTAGATTCTTAATAAGCGGCTCGAAAAGCCCTTAAAATACCAAGTTTCATAAAAATCCTGAAAATAGAAAATTCATCCGCCATATTAGATCCGCCATTTTGAATTTTCAAAAGCTGACTTCTTATTATATAATAAAATAATATAATATTTTAACTCACCCCAAAACTTGCAAGGGTGATTTTTACCCCAAAAACCGTTTTTGGGGAAAAACAAAAAATCACGTGTCAAATAGTTTCTAAGGAACTACTTATATGCGCAGTTACAGAATAATCGGTGATTATCACTTCCCTAGTGTTACTTGTAAGTACTCTAATGCTCAATTTTTTCATTTTTAGATAATTTGCGGATAACCTTATTCAGGAGACATCTCCATTGTATTCTGGGAGATATCTCTTGGATAAAGTTGTCCAGAGGTGAAGAAATTGGGCATAACAGATTAAGGGATGATTTCCCACACAAATTCAAGACGAAAGCTTCATACGATTATATATCTAAAATGGTTGTTTTCAAAGATACAGCGTGTCAAAATTGAAGGAGAAATTGTTTTTTCCAAAAATTTCGAAAACTTGTGTTATTTTTGTCAAACTTTAAACATACAAAGTTTTATCAAAACAATCCGAATGTTTTTGAAATTTTTGAAAAAATGATTTTTTTTCAACTTTGACACATCCTGTATTTTTTTAAACTAAGCTATTCGCATATATGAAGTTTTTGTCTTAAATTTATGTAAGGATTAATCATTTCTTAAAATCTTTTAGAGTACTTAATATCCACCCTGTATAACCGCGATCTTCGATTACGAGCGAGGAGGCCGAAGAACGCATAAATCTCGCGCGCGGAAATTATATTCGAGGGAAGATGCGTTTATTGTTGATACCGATAAACTCCCACATTGCCCTTTTTCTATGCGACCAAGATTGATTTAGAGTCTGCGTTCCGCGTACATCGAGAGAGGTCTGCCTTAGAGCGTACCTCAGCCGATGCACTTCCTAGCGGCTTTGTAAGACGTGTTTTATTCGGAACTGCATTTTTGTATCCGAAGAACGGAACATTATCTTGCTGCGTGAGATTTATTGGACGACTCTCTCTCTCACTGCGCTTCTTTCGAGAGGTAATTCGCAATTCGTGCCTTTCGATTTCGAAGGGATAAGAAACAAGTATCAAAAGCAGATCGACGATCGAAATCATTGTGCTTCATCATCGTGCAATTCTCCGTTATTATACTTGAAATTTTTTATCATGTCACGATTTTTTGTCAGCATCTCCCGGTCATACTCAATGTTTGTCCCGTTAGTCCGTCGACGGTAATTTATCGTTTATGAGTGAAAAAATGAAGAAAATGCTTGCTCGCAACAAAAAGCTGTCTTTCGGTTTTTAGTGTGTATCGTCGTAAAACTCGACGGAAAGAATCATACGACTCGTTCAAAAGATGTAACAATTTCAGTAAAGTGTACCGCAGGAAATAATCGAATTGGTGATGATTACAACGAACATTTCTTTTCCTCTCAATTTTCTATTACGGTACTCTCAGCTATCCGATAAGTTTCTTTTATTCAGTCCAATCGCCTCATTACGCATTTAATTATCGCGAGTATGCATACCGGTGTTCGTACATTGAATGATCACATTATGTCGTTGCAGTTAAGCGGTCGCATAATGAAGATCACGTACAGAGATTACAATCGTGTACACGAAGTCTCGACACCTTGACCGTGGTCTCCACGATGGGAGGTGCGACGTAATAATTTAGTCTGACCATTGTGCGAGACAAGAATCGTCTCGGTAGGCCACGCGTACGTGATGGGTTCGTATAACGTGGAGGCACGCGGCTCGGGCACCGACTCGCTCGTGGGACTGACGAGACACGGCCAAGTCTCCATTCAACCATCGTTGTGCTTCTCAGTACAGTTCAGTTCATTGGAAATCACTTGCATCGCGGAATACTAAGGGCTCAGACACAATGAAAGGAATAAGGAACAAGGAATAACAGATACCAACTTATCAGAAACCGGGTATTCCGATGTATTTAGTTTCTGGTAGATTAAAATCTGTTCCTTATTCCTTATTCATTTCATTGAGTCTAATAAGTCTTCTAATTCTCGAATATCACAAAACTCATTTCTAAAGATATATTAATAGATGGCAAGTTTTTAGAGAAGATGTATGTATTACATAAAGTTTATGTCGATATCTAATCTCAAAAATACATTAATAAATTTTAATAAGATAATGGTATCATTTGTTTACGCGCTTGATAAGTCAATTATCTTTTACAAAGATTTGAACGTTATGGTTTTATCCGTATTTTTTTTATACATTCCACGGATGTAATTTGAAATTTTGGAACCTTTCGTATAATATATTGTAAAATTAAATACTACTTTGAAGATGAAAAAGCAAGAAATAAAAGAAGGACAAAACGGCGAAAGAAGGTTCATTGTGCGATTTCTCAATAAAAACATCTTTCATGATTGTGTATACCTTGGAAGAGTGTCCTGTCACGTTTCAGGAACAATTGAAGTCCTGCGCGCGACATTCCAATTTCAAAAAAGAAATTGCGGAAGCCTGTAGTCGCGTAAGCGTAAAGAAAGAATAGGCTTGTAAAGGGAGATACGCGATTGTTATATGCGAATATCCGCGTGGATTGCACACGAGAGGAAGAACCAAATGGAATTCACTATTCCGTGAACACTCACCATGCAACTCGTACGACTGGGGCGAGGGTGTTAACGAGAATTCGCCCACGTGTGTTCGCGCCATATGACGCTTCCACTCGTTCCGTTGTTAAGCCCCGGTACACCCTCGAGAGACGACGAATGCGTCCCGCCAGTAATTACTATGATAAACTGCACGCGGGAGACGCATTGACGTCCACCCCTGCAAATTTCACCGAGCTTATTCGGCAATCCCGTTTTATGCTTTTCATTAACTTCACGTACACGCCTGCGCCTGTACCTGTCACGACGCACTCGATCGCGTAGCACTAACAGTCATGTTTCTTTGATTGCAGCACCGGTATATGACCAGGATACCACACAGATCGCAGAGTACGATGGAGGTATGTATATCACGCTTGCTTTTATTGCATCTAATCAATCGTCATGTGCGTCAACAACGTGACATTAATTGTATCGTAGTTTAAGAAGCCGCACACGTTGTACTTTAATTCAATAAATCAAAGGATTAAAAGAAATTTATTACAAACGATTTCTATGTAACATATCATAAAATAAAAATTTTTCTAAATTTTTCTGAATTAAATTTATTTGTTGCATCTCGCGAAGAATGTAATAATACTGTTGAATATAAAAATAACAATATAATTACGATGTTATATATAGAGATTTTCGTATTTATTATATATATGAAATTATTTCTCTAGCCACCCCTGGATGTTACTTCAACTACCAGCGGTATCAAGAAGGCGATAGGATCATGACAAGTGAACCATGTCTAAACTGCACGTGCCACAACCGAATGTTGATGTGCTACTTGAAGGTCTGTCCCTTCACGAAAGCGATCGGTCAGGATTGCACGGTGGAGAAACGTCCGGATCAATGTTGCCCTGTGATCACTTGTCCGGAAGTACCGGTTCAACTATTGACATCAACAACAAGTGCACCGGATTCCACGGAAATCGGATTCCATGACAATTATGGCTGCCATGTCGACGAAAGGTTTTATGCAGACGGCGCTATGCTGCCGTTGGATCATCACAATCCTTGCGAGCTTTGCTATTGCATTAGAAATAGAACCACTTGCGTCATGCAAGAGTGTACTTTACAAGTGGCTGGATGTAAACCTGTCTATCAACCGGGTGTATGTTGTCCGATCAAGTACAATTGCGGTAAGTAATTGCGTTGTCTTGTAATATCTTGGTATTATTTCATACTGAAAAATGCCTACAATTATTGATTCTTTGTACAGAATACGATGAGGAATCTAGCACTACGGTTGGTCCAACTCCCGGTCTCATCATGACCACAACGCTACCTCCTGGCATATTACCTCAATGTTATTACGAAGGTAAAGTTTACGAAGACGGTGATTTGATTTACTCCACTCAGCCTTGTCAGCATTGCTATTGCTTCCGAGGCGAGATCGCTTGCGCTGTGCAAAATTGTGGAACGCCGATGCAAGAGCATGGAAAGAATTGCACGGCCTTACCGCCGCCAGAAGGAGAATGTTGTCCAACCATATATGAGTGTGGTAAGTAATTTCACATAATAATAATAACAATATATTATGTAATTAAACAATCTAAGAAGCGTTATTACTAAATAAACATTACGCATTAAAGACTCGTATGTACTTATTACAGAAGAAGGAATCACTACAGTACGAGATGAAGGTGAAGAACAGTTTTCGGAACAAGTACCACATGGTCAAGTGACTGAATCTCCTATACTGATTGACCAGGAAGATCAACAAACGAAGGGCGAACAACCTCAGGAAGAGGTATTCCCAGGTATCGACAATAATATACCGTATGCTCAGGAAGAAGAAGAAGATAAAACTGTTCAAGGAACTATCGAACACATTACCCAGGGACATATTCCATCTACCGAAAAACCTGAAGAAGAAACCGCAACACTGCCGACAGAAAAGATAGAAACTACTACTGCTGAGAAAGAAGTTACTCCTTCTCACGAACATGTTACCGAAACTTCTCCTGAGATAACATCGGAAAAGATAGAGATAATATCGGAAGTGCCCTCTGAAACAGAAGCAACAAAACTAGGAGCACCTACGACAGTACAAGGAACTGAAGAAAGTTTAGTTACTGAAGGACCTGCCACTGAATTACCGGAAGTTTCGTCTATCGCAGAAGGCTTGCAACCCGAAGAGAAGTTGTTAACAACAGAACACGTACCTACAGAACGTGTAAGCACAGAAGAGAATATAATTGAAGAGGAACATAGTACTCCCGCTGTCACTGAAAGGGGACAATCGATCGAACCTTCCATTAGCGAAACAACGCAAACCGAAGGTCCAATAAAAGAAGAAGAGACTACTAGCCCGCACGAAGAATTGTCAACTCAAACACAAGAAGAGATAACACAAGAAGGACAAATTGGTTCAGAAAAACCAGAGAGTTCAACTGAAGCTATTGAGAAAACAACATCGCCAATCGAAGAGCTTGGTATCAGCACTGTTTCTGAATCTATTAGCGAGCAACCAAAGGCAGATGAAGGTAAACCCGAAACTATGCCAGGTGTACTTTTAGCAACAGAAACGGAATCACCGAAAGAAGAAGAAACTGTGACTCCTGCTCATGAGGTATCCAGTACTGAACAAATCACTACTGAGAGAGAAGAGGTGTCGCATCCAACGGAAACCGCTATTACGGAACAATCAACTGAAATAAGTGGTCCTTCTAAAGAACAACCTGTTGAAGAACAGAAATCAGTAATAAGTGAAGGTGAAAAGAAACAACGACCGGAAGAGACAACATCCGAACACGCAATAATTGAAGAGCAAGCTACTGTTGGCGCTAAGAAAGAAGATGCCGGTTTGACTGAGAGCTCAGTGATTAGTGAAGAACCTCTCGTCACGGAAGTGTCACATGCAGAGGAAGAATCAACTCCGGAAATTCCAGCTCAAGGTCCAACTGGCATACCGATTCCCGAACGAAGTCCAGAACAGAAGGCAGAAGATGAGAGCGTATATCATGTGACAGAAGACTATCATGGTGTCACTCATCCGGAAATTAGTCCTGATAATCTCATAACTGAGGTTCCACAGAAAATACCTGTAACTCATCTCCCGCAGGAACAAGAGACAACGCTAGCTCCATCAGAAGAAACTGCAAAACCAATTGCAACGGAAGGTATTGAAGTATCAATGGAAGGAACGACAAAACCAATAAAAGAAGCTACAGAAATAAATCTACCAACTGAGCGTAAACCTGAAATTACTACAGTTTCTGAAGAAACACAAAGCACACCTGCTGTCACCGAAGTTCAGATTAGCACAGAATCTTCTACAGCTATTATCGCTCAAAGAATACCAGAAGAAGAAATACCTGAAAAATCTACTGTGCCAGAGGAAACAGTAAGTGAAATACCACAAACGGAAATTCAGTTAACAGAAAAGTCTCCTAGTACTGAAGAAATGCCCACAAAAGAATTTGAAGAATCTAGTGAAAGTTCTGGGGAAGTCAGTGAAAAAGAAGCGCAACCAAAGAAGGAAGAAGAAACGCAACCCCCAATCATAACAGAACCAGAAATAGCTCCCGAAATATCCACAACTATTCCAGCGGAACATTCAACAGTGCCTTCGGATCTTGAGAAAGAACATACAACAGCAGGTGAATATGTTACTACCGTCATTTCTTCTACTGAGCAATCAACGCACGTTCCGCAAGTCGAAGAGAAAGAAACTGAAATAGTTCCTATTGAAAAGGAAGAACCAATTACTGAAAAACCAGTTGAGGAACATGTTACGGAACATCTCATTACAACACCGGGCATAATTGGCGAAAAAGAAAAAGAATTACAAACTGAAGAACCTGTTTTGAAAGAAGAGCAAACCACGGAAGCGATAAAGACGATAGAAACGGAAGAAGAACGTACAACACGAGTTCCTGCAGTTGAAGAAGGAATAACTGAGCAACCCGAACAATATACAAAGAAAGCTTTGGAAGAAGCCGCTGTTACGGAAAGTCATGGTCCAGAGGAAACAGAAAGTACGAAAGCCGTGTCAACAGAAAGTACAGAACAACAAACTACTACAGTAACAGAAAAGGAACCAACTGAGGAAATTGTGGAATTAAAACCAACAGAAATTACCGGTGTCGAACAAACAGAATTGCCTGTTGAACATACCACCGAAGCAGGCAAAATTGAAGAAGAAGGTGAAGAAAAGATTTCTGTGCCTGTATCCACGGAGGAAATACAAACAGAAATTCCTGAAGTTGAAACTGAAGCCACTGAGACAACGGCGGAACCAGAAAAGAAGCAGACTGAGACTTCCATCAGTGGAATACCAAGTCAACCTCCGATTCCTTCAGATCGCAAAGAAGATCAGGAATCGATTGAACCAGAACACGAAGAGCAATTAACACAGAAACCCGAGAAAGAAATAACTGAGACGTATGAAGAACCACAGAAACCGACAGTTCTTCCCGAAGAAGAAATATCTCATATTCCATCTTCGGAAAGTACTATTACCGAATCTGTTCTGCCGGAAGAAAAACCGGTTGAGGGTAGTACAACGGAATCTGTTACTGTTGGCGAAGTTATTACGCCAGAACAGCCTGAAATATCGAGTGAACAACCGAAAGAAGTCACAACCGAACCATCCGGACAGGAGGAACAGACTCAACAGCCAATCACTGAGAAACAACCAGAAATTCATGAGAAAACAGAGATTGAAGCATCCAGTCCTGCAACTCACGAAGAATCTTCGACTCCTGAAGTTTCTACAGAATCAGTTGAAGACATAGGTGTTAGTAAGACAACCGAAACCGCGGAAAGTGAAGGTACGACAATTTCAGTATTAGTTTCTGAGGCATCAACTAAGCCGCCTGGACTTGAAGAATTTACAAAGCACGAAGTTCCTGCCGAGAAAGAATTTACACCTGCAACCGAATCTATACCTTCGGAAAAAGAACAGCCAGAAATACAAGAGCAAGCCACGCAACCATCACTAAAGGAAGAAACACCAATTAAGGAAAAAGGTGAAACGGAAAGTCCAGCTGAAATATCTACAGAAGAAGGTATAATTTCTGAAACACCTGAAGTATCGATTACCGAACAACCATTGAAGTCCGAAGAAGAAATTGTTCAAAAAATGATTACGGAGGTGCCGGAGCACGAAGAAAAAGAGATATATTCAACGGTTGTTCCAAAAGAAACAATTCAATATACAACAAGCATTCCAGAAGAAATTTCTGTAGAAGAAGAAAGTACAACAGAGTTCGCACTTCGTCCGTCGGGTATTCCAGGAGAAGGTAATTGTCTTGTTGAAGGACAATCTTATAGCAACAATTCAGCCGTTCCACCAGCAAACGCGTGTCAGACCAGTTGTCATTGTATTAGCAGTATTGTACAATGCGAACTCGTGCAATGTCCTGCCCCGCCAGCGCATCTATCGAATTGCATGCCGGTTCACACAAACGGAGAATCTTGCTGTCCAATGTATGCTTGTGATTCCACACCGACTGCTGAATTGGAATCCGACAGTCATGTAATTGAACCTCATGTTTCCGGAGAAGAAGAAATTCAGAAGACTGTTTCGCCTACGGAAATATCAAAAGAAGCTGCAACAGAATCGAGTACATTAGCTGGTGAGATTAGTACTCCGAAGTTACAACCTGTAGAAATTACTGTTCCTCCTATTACATCTGAAGAAGAAACAGCAACTGAGAAACAACAGACCACTCTCAAACCTATTGAAACGGTTTATGAACAGCCCACTACAGTTCGACAACCCATCGAGCAATATCCTGAAGAACACACTATTAGTTCGGTGTCAGAGACATCGCAAGAACCCTCCAGTCAAATACCCGAAGAACATACTGTGTCATCAATTATACCAGTAGAAACTACTGAAAGCAAAATTAGCGAGGAAGGCACAACAGAATCAGCAGGTTTGACTGAACAACCACAGGAAGAGATTGGACAAAAACAGATTCCTACTATTGGCGAAGCAATTACTTCCACGCAGGTACCTGCCGAACAGGAATCTCACAGCACTGAAGAACCTATTACGGTTCCTAGTTTGACAGAAGAGAAAGAGACTTCTGTTCCTGTCGAAGTAGAAGAAAGTTCAATACCTATTGAGAAAGAACAAGAAGTTACAACTACAGCAGCTAGTAAAGCTGAAGAAACTAGTATACCGACCAAAGAACAGGAAAAACCCACCGAAGAAGAAGGTATTGAACAACAATCTACATTTAAACCAATTGAAAAAGAACAACCCGAAGAAGAAAAAGTTTCATTAAAACCAATTTCTGAGGAACCTGTTACCATCGAAGAACAGGAAACATCTACGAAATCGGAAGAAATTTTAACGGAGAAACCAGGTATTCAAGAGGAACAAAGTACTTCAGTTCCTGAAATACAATCAACGACTGAGCATAAGCCCGAGAGTGAAATTGAAAAGGAAAAAGAGCACGAGACAGTTACATCAACTGAAACTGCTCAAACCGAGGAACCAGAAAGTCAAACAAAATTGCCTCCAAGCGAAATTGAAACACAGGAGCCAATTATACCTACTGCTGAATCGACGACATTGATACATGATCATACCATAAGTGAGGAGACGTCAACAAAGGAATACACAACTATAAAATCTGTAGAAATTTCTACTGAAAAAAGCACAAAGACGGAGCTGAAAATTACAACTCAAACTCCTACAACTGAAGAAGAACATGTTACTGTTGCTATCTTGCCTGAAACAGAAACGCCTATCGAGGGAACTACTAAACTAGTCGAAGAATCTACTCCTAAAGTTTCCCATGAAGAAACATTACCTGAAACAACAGAAAGTGCAATAGAAAAGGAAATTACAGAATATCCTGAAAAACAAACAGAACCATCAATTATAGAGCACGAAGAAGAACCGTCAACTACAAAATTGCTCGAGGAAAAGCCATCGGAAACTGAATCTTCAGTTATTAGCGAGGAACCAACTGAACCTACTGAAGAACACGAGAAACCTACTGAAACTAGCGTCGCTCAGGAACCAGGAAGTACGCAAGTCTCCGTTGAGAAGCATCCAGAAACTACACCCGAAATTGAATCTCATACGCCCGAATTACCTGCCGAAGAGCATACTGAGGAAATATCCACGACATCTGCATCTGTAGAAGAAAAAGCTGGCGAGCAATCTACTACACCGATCGTAAAGGAAACTGAGCCTAGTTTGAGTGAAGAGGGAACTGAACAGCCTGTTATTTCGGAATCCGAAACACCAGTTGCAGAAGAGGAACACGTCACCGTTCCGATTGTAGAGCAAACTTCAAAATCTGAGTATCCTATCGAGGAACAGACTGTTACTTCTCCCAGCGAAGAAAAGATAACGGAAGGCGTTTCGACAGAAGTTATACCAGTAACGAGTCAAGAGGAACAGATAACTGAAAAGACAATAGAAAGTGTTAAACCAGAAACACAGTTGCCTGATTTAGCGGAGGAACATACTGTTGTTCCTGAAATTTATAAAAAAGACGAAGAACAGAAACCTGAAATTGGAACAACGGAAGAACCTGGTAAAGAGTACCAACCAACTACGGTTCCAGAATTAATAGGTGCAGGTGAGAAAGAAACGGAAGAAGCTGTTAAAGAGGAAGCTGTGACATCTAGTACTATAGAAGAGCATACCACACAAAAGGAAATTGAATCAGTTGTAAAAACACATGAAACAACAATTATTCCAAAAGAACAGAAGCCGGAAGAAGAAGGTCAAGTTACCGAAGCTTATTTACCGGGCCATCCAGTGAGTGAAGAAGCGACAACCGTGACAAGTTTGGCACCCGAAGAATATTCAATTGAACCGGTAAAGACAGAAGAACAAAGTACTCATGAACCTGAATATCAGACAACGCTATCTACCGCAGAAGTATCGCAGCCAGTGACCGAAATTAGCGAAGTGGAGAAACTTCCACCCGAAGAAGAAACTGTTACAGCTGAAAGTACAGAGAAGCCAGAAGAACCTGTCACCAAACTTGAAATGAGTTCAACCGAAAAGCCTGGGGAAATTCCATTTGAAACGGAAAAGCCTGAGGAAATTCCACTTGAAACGGAAAAACCTGAGGAAATTCCACTTGAAACGGAAAAGCCTGAGGAAATTCCATTTGAAACGGAAAAGCCGATTGAACCCGAACGAGAAACAGAACCTCCCGAACAAGGTGAAACTACTACAAAAGCAATTGAAAGCGCAGTAACCAAAGAAATATTACCAGAAGAAGCGGTTTCAGTAGAAGTGACTCCAAAAGTTGAAGAGAAACCGACAGAAGCTTCTACAGCAGGAGAAGAAGAGGAAGTACATTCTACCCAATCCACAGAAACTACTTCTGTTTATAAGGAAGAACAACCGTCGATAACTAAATTAGAGCCTACTGAAAGGCCTCTTCCTTCTGAGGAAGTAACCCCTGCTGGAGAAATTCAGCCTACCCAACCTGAAGAAAGCGAGGAAGCCCATCCAACTGTATCCGAAGAGGGTATAACCGAAGAACCTCAGTTTACTACGGAACATGCGCCCGAAGCACCTGTTACGACAAAAACAGAAGAGCACCCGGAAGTAGAAGAAGGACCAGAAACTATTGTGACTGAAAGTCCAATCAAGGTTTCTAGCGTGAAACCAACTGAATTACCTGAAGAAACAACTACCGTCGGACCAGAAGTAGTATCAGAAGTACCCGAATCTCAAATTCCGATAAAAGAAGAAGGTCCGCAACCGGAAACGCCGGTTGAAGAACCTGTCACAAAAACACAACCGATAACCACGGAAATATCAACTGGAGAAATTACAGAAGAGATTCCTGAAGAAGAACCCATTCATCCGCAAGAAGGTGAAGAGCAGACTCACATTGACCACTTCCCGGAGGCTACCGTGAAACCAGAAACTGATTATGGTTTCCATGAACAACGGCCAGCGACTACTCCTCATATTCCAGAATATCCTGATCAAAGCGGAATATCGGGTGAAGACAATTCTCACTTCCCCCTACCCGGCTATCCGAATCCCGACGACGACTATGGCGAGGATGACTATGGAGGACCGGGCACTTGTCGATATGGCGGCAAGGTTTACGTTTCGGCACAACAGATACCGAGAGACGACCCGTGCGACTTCTGTTTCTGCTTCAGGAGTGACATCATCTGTCTCCAACAAAGTTGTCCACCGCCTATTCCAGGCTGCCATGAGGAACCGATCAGCGGTTTCTGCTGTCCCAGATACGAGTGTCCCGTATCAATGGCTACGGCTCTTAACTTGACCACTACCACTACTACAACCACGACCACGTTACCACCACACTTTCCCGCGCACGCTTATAAAGGAGCCGCGAGGCGAAGCGGTTGTCAACTTAATGGCCATGCCTATCGAGTGGGAGAAGTCATTAAGTCAGCGTCTAATCCTTGCCTTCGTTGCATGTAAGTAATTAATTAATTTGTAAAAAAATACATATCTTTTTATATTCTCTACCTCTCTGTAAATCGTTTTTAACTATATGTGCATTATTTTTGAAAAAAAAAAAAAAAAATACTTAACGTGACTTATTACAAAATTTTAGTTGCGGAAATGATGGTAAAATGAAATGCGATCCGCAAGTATGTAGTCCGGAACCAATGCTGAGGCAAATGATAGCTGCGACTACAGATGCCAAAAGAAGGAGATGAGCCGCCGAGTTGGATCGAGGGATTCATCTTTACAAAGAAGCATATATGAGGGCGAAAAAGTCGACAGCAGGAAAAAATTCAGTGTTGTATAAAAGTGAATGAAAATTATTCTAAACTACCTAAACATCGCGCGAAACACAGACAATAGTGTGCTTCGACGATTACGAACTGAGTGGCCAAAACGTAAACGTTTATATTAATAATATTATATTATGTTATATATAAATAAAAGAAAAAGAGCAACGGAGAAAGAAAGAGAGAGAAAGAGTGGAGGAGGGGAGGAGGCATACTGATTGGAGTATCATAGGAGATTAATTGTGTATTGAGGCGTGTTATCGGTGCTAATATGCGAATATGAAAGGAGGAAGCTAGGCAGCATGGATATAGAAAATATAGACAAAAAAGAAGAAAAAAAGAAAAAAATTTGTCGTGTAACGAACATAATTCCGCGTTCTGTCTCGCGTGGGATATTTTATATATGCCCTAAAAAGACAAAAAAGAGAGGAAATTACTGAACGTACGAGACTTATGACTGTGCCTTTGTCAGTGTCGAATATCAACGGCACTGGTTTCGTTTCGGCAACGAGCGCCGTCCGCAGCCACGGTCATCGTCGTCGGTATTAAAAAAAAAAAGGAAACACGAAAAGAGAGAGTTGCGATCATAACTCGTGATAGGGAGGAAAAAAAGAAGAAAAAAAATGCAATGAATGCATTTTGTACGACAAACAAGAAACGAATAAAAAGATAAAAGGAAGAAAATAGAATCGAAAGAAGAATTCAATACGCCGGCCGAATGGGTCGTGCAATGATACTGAATTAGCGAAGGAGAATCGTACGAAGGATACCTCAATTCGCAAATTGTTTAGCTAGTTAGAAGCTTTTTTAACATTTTTTCTACACAAACTATACGTCCATGGTATCCCTCCTACGATTATAACGTCGTAAATTGAAAAATATGGGGAAGAAACGAGACCACGATATTCGGCGTATCCTTACTGCTCTTACGGTGTCACTGCGACAATCTTAAGCGACGATGATATATGTCATTTGCTACGCGATCGAGCGTGTTCTGGATCGTTTATTCGGCTGCTACGTGTGTCCCAAACGACCGGGTCACATTATTCAAGTTTGCTGACGTTCATGCGCACTCGGACACGATCGAGATTATGAATCGGTATAACTAGAGCCGGCCGTGCTTCCAGTATTCTTAAGCAGCAAAGATCTTATTCTTTTTGAAGAAGAACTTCCGATTAAGCTATCTTTTTTCTTCCTTTTTTAATTGATACGCCAACACCATACATATACAGTGCCAACGATCGTATCCTAGTGCGCGTGCGAGTGTGTGTACGTGCGTGTGTATGCATGGTGCATGTGATATGTTAATGGAGAGAAAGAGAGAGCGAAAGAGAGAGAGAGAGAGAGAGAGAGAAAGAGAGAAAGCCAGAGAGACGAAAGATACACGCATCTCAAAGCTCAAACAGCGGCTCGCGCGGAGGACCGATCCGAGAATTTGCTTCTCCGGCGAGCTGGCGTCATTATATATAAATATAAATATAAATATAAATATAAATATAAATATAAATATATATATAAATATAAATATATATACATTTATATAATTCTTTATATACATTGTACCCTCCTCTGATGATAATACTTAACGATAACGATGTTCTATACGTTTGTACGAAAGTATAGCTGTTAAGAGAACGAGATGAGAGATAATCGCCTGTACCGGTTCTTCAGTCTCAAAGTATCGCGTTAGAAAAGAGAAAACGATAAAATCTTCGGAATCTCTTTCCAAGTCAATTATTTATCTTGATAGCGACGATACTCGACTCGTATGATCGTCGTCTAATAATGAAAGCAACGTCACGCTTTGAGACTCTGGAACTCTGCAGGCTCATTTTAGTGTAATAAATAGAACGAATGTTTTGTATATATATATACATATATATACATACATATATATGTATATATGATCGCACGAAATACTGCGCATACTGTCTGTATAATAATGGAACGAAGACGAGTCAACGTTCGGTCTTCCTGATATCAGCGGCCCGTTAATCCTAGTTACTCATTTATTAATAATTAATTAAGCCCGTATCTGCCCCTGGGACAACAGCTTCTCGCGAAGAACTATCATGAAAGCGTTTTCCTCTTTTTCTTCACGTAAAGGATCTCTTTCGACATGAAAGATCAACGTATTCATGGAGCTTCCACGACAACTCGATCGTGATATACAAAGTGGCCATATTATTACTGTCACTGTTTTCAGACGTGAATGAAACAAATTTCCCATGCAATAATCGATAATAAATTTTTGATACACGTATAAAACTTTTTTTGTGTTTTATAATAAAATTATGAAACTGATCAGCGCTGCGACATTATTATATCTAGGAAAAGTTGAAATTTTAAATACTCGTAGAGATGAAAATAACTACGATGAAGGTACGAAACTACGCATTTTTTACAACCAGGCGAATGTACATTCAAGAAAGTCGAGAAGAGAGAAAGGATCAATGTCATAATTCTCAATTATCTAAGATAACATCGACGAAAGCGCGCGATTTCGTACGTGTCTTCCATCGCGACAAAAGGTTATAACGGTACATTTTGCGGTAAGCAAAACGAAAGTAACTAAAATAATTTGCTCAAAGCTCATTGAAAGTTACGCGGTTGTAGTCGAGTCAGTTCTTCCCAAGTATTGCCAATACTCTTTAGCAATTATATATAGTCCAAACCCTAGTATTTATACTCGATATCAACCCTTTTTCCCTTTCAATCATAGCGAGTAATAATTATCAAAGGTTAATATGAATGTCGAGTGTTTACGATAATAAGTACGATATTATACAGCTGTACGATATTATGTAGCTGTAATGACGTAAGGCATACATTCCTTACAGAAATCCAATTTAATACTGAAAACTGTTTATTTTGAGTATTAAAAGCACTAAACAATAGTGCTTTTATTACTCGAAATAAGTAATTAATCACTTCTTTTCAGTATTAAATTTTGATAAGGGACATCGTGTTAGATATATACATAGAACGCATGTAAAACTAATGTCGAAATCGATCGAAGCAGCGAAATATCCACGAAAATTGATTACGTAGGCATTACAAAGCGCATAAGGCGATCAATTCCTATCCATTTCGCCGCATCAACTATTCCTTCGTGATCGAACATATTCACGTTAAGCTATGTTCTGCAGATTCCTACCCGAGTGCCACCCATATATCACTCCATCCTTGTTATTTACCTAAAGATAAACAAGGATGACATGACACTCCGAAAGCATCCGGATTGGAATCCAAACATGCCTTTATATGAGAGATTTCCTTCAATTTCCTCGTAATCCGATATGATTATCGAGAGCTAGTAGCTGAGGGATTTGAATCGGTCCCGCGTTTGCGCGCGTGAAGCAATATGGCGCGTGGCGCGGTTGATCAAAAATTGAACTTCACGACAGAATCTACCGACTTCTTTCTCGCACGTAAGTACGATCACAGTCGCGTGTTGCTATGAGGAATGTAACTCGATATCGTTCGCCGCTTATTATACTATGTGATAAACGGAATAAACGAGAGCGAGCCGGGAAACAGCGAAAGGAAGCCCCGGCGGTGCCGACTATATGGAAGTAGGCTAAGTTTGACAGTACGTGCTAGTATAAAGTGTCCTTTTATATGAATAAAAGATTTTGTATGTCATCCTGTGTATCTCTGTGCACCTCGTTATTCATTGTATAAACAATCTGCCATCTCCGTTCGCATATAAATAAAAAAATCTCAGTTTGACAAATAATATATATAACAAATTAGTAATAATAATATACTTTATTTAATTAAATCGTTTTATAATGTGCTAGTAATTTTAGAAAATCTGCATAAATTGTTTAGTTATGTCTTGTGAAGTAATTGCAGTGAGGCGTTATCATTTTTCCGTTTTGCGCCTACTAGGTTATATCAGATAAAAAAAATTTTTTTAATATATTTGTTTTTTTATTCCGTTTTATTCCATTAATATTGTGCGATGAAGGATATAAATTGTCACTTCAAAGAATTATGAGATAAATTCGAATCTTATACATTTCAATCATAAGTCGTTTGAATATTTCATCCATCTAAAGTTCCGGATTTAGGGTTGCCAATATCAGGAAACAAATTCTATGTTTCTGTGGCGGGACGGCCGCACGAGCAATTTCGCACGAAAATTTAAGCATTGGACGAACATACCGAACTATTTTATGTTAGAAACAAAAAGATGAATATGTAAACGTACGCTTCTACAAAATAAATGCAGCAGCGAGACGCGTAATTATATGAAAACGTTCTAAATTGGTATCACGAACACCGGGCGGCCGAGTGAAGGGTTACGTTCCTAGACGAACGCGCGTTGGCAACGCGTGTTTTGACGCATTGTTGAAGTCAGTCAAAGTGGTATTTTCTTTCGGTGTACGCGTTGTAAAAGACGTTGTGTTCCGCGATTTTCGAGCAAGATACGCGAAGGAATCATTGTCAACGAACGATGGAGGCCGGTGCGAGTACGGGTACTCGTACGACGCGATTTATGATGGAAGGTGTCGGCGCCCGAGTGATTCGTGGACCGGAATGGAAATGGGGAAAACAGGTTAGGATGAGAGGTTAAGTGCGATAAACGCGATTTATTTGAGACAACGCGATGTTTTTCTCCCGCAAGATTAATAGCAATAAATACTTCCACATTTTCTGTTTTCTGCGACAATAGCTCAATAATTTTTTTCAGAAAATTGCGCTCGTAAAAAACTAATTTAATTTGCTGTAAGGTTACTCCGATTATTGTTTATGTCACGTAACATTTATATTTAATTGGATTATAGATTTGTTGCGTACTTACTTAAATTACTATTAGATTTTACAATATTATATATCAATGTACGTGATTTTTAATGGGCAGATAATTGTATAAAAATAGGAGTAACATCTTCATTTTTAATCATATTATACTGGCAACGATTGCTATATTGTTAAGAAACTTCCTTGCATTAGTAACAGATTTAAAGGATATTTTAATTATTATTTTTCAATTTCTCTCTCTCATTTGAAAGGATGGTGGAGAAGGTCATGTGGGTACCGTAAGAAATTTTGAATCGCCAGAAGAGGTTGTGGTTGTTTGGGATAATGGTACAGCAGCCAATTATCGATGCTCTGGAGCCTTTGATCTGCGTATTCTGGATTCTGCACCAACAGGAGTGAAACATGATGGTACAATGTGTGATACTTGTCGTCAACAGCCCATCTTTGGTATCAGATGGAAGTGTGCTGAATGTGGCAACTACGATCTTTGTTCCATTTGTTATCATGGAGATAAACATCATCTACGACATAGATTTTTTCGTATTGCTACACCAGGAAGTGAAAGAGTTCTACTAGAGCCTCGTAGGAAAAGCAAAAAGGTATAAACCATGATTCTTAATTTTATTATTTGAAAATTACTTGTTACATCATGTTTTGTTAATTAATATTTTAATATAGATTGGAATTCGTGGTATATTCCCTGGTGCAAGAGTTGTACGAGGTGTGGACTGGCAATGGGAAGATCAGGATGGTGGAAACGGCCGCCGAGGAAAAGTTAATGAAATACAAGACTGGTCTGCGGCTAGTCCACGTTCAGCGGCTTATGTTATTTGGGATAATGGTGCTAAAAATTTGTATAGAGTCGGCTTTGA